AATATTTAATAAATGTGAATATGGTCTCTCTTTCTCTCTCAAAATATCTTATTGTACTATACTCTCGTTATGCATTGGTGGAACCATTCCATAAATAAGATAGCTGTCACCATGTTTTCTAATTACGTCGCCAGAACACAGGCATATAATTTTTGCTTTTGTTTTTTAGAGCCCACGAGTTCTTTGCACTGTACACTATGCCTGGCTTTTTCATATGTCCTGCAGTGCTGCTACATCGTACCAGAGTTAATCTGTCCTCATGCTGATCCCTCCTTTTTTGCATTTTTATGAATGTAGGTTCTGTTGGGCATCTTCTTCCAGAAGAGCCCGGTTTCATCGCCGTTTGAAGACTTGCTGTGGGTGGGATCATTCCTCAATCAGTTTCTTCACCTCTGCTGGAAATGTGGCAGCAGCTTCTTCAGTAATTTTTACATTTTCAGTCCAAACCTATTCCCGAATCTGTGTAACCATCTCTAACTTGCAGTGAATGGATTGGTGTCACCATTTTGAGGGATCCCTTTCTTAAGTCCTTGTATAGGCTCAGTGCTTTCCGGGGCAACACATTGCCTTCAGTCAGAACATGTTTTCTGCTCACATCTTCCACCCACAAATTTTCCACCTTAGCTAAGCACTTATAACACACAAAGTGTTCATGACTTCTACAGTTTGAAGTGGGACAGTAAACCTAGCATGGTCTTTTTTCTTCTTTACAATTTTACCGATAGAAGATTCGTTTTAACCGCTGTTCTTAGTAACCTCAGCATATGATTGTTTTTCTTATTAGGTTGAAATTTTTACCTTTTCACTTAAAGGAAGTACTTTATAGCATATCTGAATTGCCAGCATCATTCCTCTTGTGCTTTGGGGCCATTTTTAAGCAAAATAAGAGTTCATTGAACTCAGGTACTGCAAACCATGACAGTCAGTCTCATCACCTAGGTGGCTACTAAGTGACTGGCAGGAAGGTAGCATACACGGTGCGGGTATCCTGGGTAAAGGAATGATTCATGTCCCAGGTGGGACAGAGCAGGATGGCTTGAGATTTCATGACACTACTCAGAATGGCAAACGATTTAACACTTATGAATTATTTATTTCTGGAATTTTCCACTTAATATTTTCTGAACATGGTTGACCATGGGTAACAAACTGAAGAAAGTGAAATTGTGGATAAAGGAGGACTACTGTATTCTTTCAATTCATGAGCATGGAATATCTTTCCATTTATTTGTGTCTTCAGTTTATTTTATCACTGTCTTACAGTTTTCAATGTACAGGTCTTTTACCTCCTTGGTTAAATTTATTCCTAGGTATTTTATTATTTTTGATATTGCCGATGGGACTGTTTTCTTAATTTGTCTTTCTAATAGTTCATTTTTAATGTATAGAAACAACTGATTTTTGCTGTTAATTTTGTATCCTGCACAGTTTTTTGGTGAAGTCTTTAGAGTTCTATATAAGTGTCATGTCATGTGCAAATAGAAACCTTCTTCCTTTCCAATTTGGATACCTTTTATTTCTTTTTCTTGCCTGATTGGTATGGCTAGGACTTCCAGGACTATGCTGACTAAAAGTGGTGATATTGGACATCCTTGTCTTGTTCCTGATGTTAGAGGAAAAGCTTTCAGTTTGTCATGAATGGATGTTAAATTTTGCCAAATGCTTTTCTACATCTGTTGAGATGATCATATGATTTTTATCCTTCATTTTGTTAGTATGGTATATCATACTGCTTAGTTTTGGGGTGGCAAACTATCTTTTCATCCTGGAATAAATCCCACTTGTTGAATTTGGTTTGCTAATATTTTTGTTGAGGTTTTTGCATCTGTGTTCATCTGACAACAAAATTTCTTGTATCCTTGTCTGGGTTTAGTAATCAAGGTAATGCTGGCCATGTAAAATGTGTTTGGAAGTGCTCCCTCCTCTTCTAGGTCTTGTTTTTTTTTTTTTAAATAAAGATTAGTATTAATTCTTTTTTAAGTATTTGGTGGAATTCACCAGTAAAGCCATCTAGTTCTGGACTCTGTTGGGTTATTGTAACTTTTTAACTTAAGGATTTCCATTTGATTTTTTTAAAATATATTCTGTCTTTATCTTGATAGTCTGTATTTAATGAATCATCACCACGCTTTTCTTTAATCCTCTTAACCTGGTTTCCTTTAATTCTTTTAACATTTATAACTTTTTAAAAATCTTTATCTGTTAAATCCAACATCTGAACACTCTCAGAGATGGATTCTATTGATTGGTTTTATTTCCCCCTTTGTATGGGTCACATTTAGGTTTCCTTATATACCTCATTTTTTTGTTGTTGTTAGAAAACTGCATTAAAAAAAATATAATGTTGTAATTTGAGATTCTCACTCTTCACCACAGGGTGGTGCTGTTGGTGAATTGTTTTTGTTTGTTCATTTTAATAAATTGCTCAGACTAATTTGGCCAAGTGTATTTCTACTGTAGTGTGCAACATTTGTCATCTGCTCAGCCTTTTTATTTTTGTTTTTAATGTTTTAATTTTTAAGCTTGGCTGAGTTCGTGTTGGTTGGTCCCTACATCAGCATAGCTTAGTGATCAGCCATTGGTTAGCCAGAGGTTGCACTTAAACACCCTGCGCTGATCAGCCTCTGCCCTTTGCCATTGGGTCAGACCTTGGGAAATGCCTTCAAAATTTGGATAGTTTAGAAACATACCCCCCACCTTTTTTTAAACTTTGTTTCTGGTCTTAGAAGGAAGACATTGACTTTTTTCAACGTTAGGTATACTGTTACTTGTAGGTGTTTTATAGATATCCTTTATCAGATTGAGGAAATTTCCTTCTATTTCTAGCTTACTGGAAGTTTTAACAACAGTAAATGTTGAATTTTGTCATATTCTTTTTCTGCATCTTTTGTGATGCTCATTCAGTTTTCCTTCTGTTTGTCTGCCAGTGAGATACAGTGATTAATTTTCAAGTGTTAAACCAACCTCGGTCTCCTGGGATTAATACCACTTAATCATGAAATAGTATTTTCTGTATATTGTTGATTTGATTTGCTAATATCTTCATAAGGAATTCTGAATCTGTGTTACAGAGGGATATTGCTATGTTCTTGTTGTCTTGTAATGTCCTTATCGGGCTTTGGAATAGGATTTAGAGTGTTCTTGTGAACTGCGTTCGCTCTTGGCTCTATTATTTCAAAGGATTGGTGTACAATTCTTATTCTTTCTTCCTTGTATGTTTGGCAGAATTTATCAGTGAAGTCACCTGGACCAGTTTTTTTTCTATGGCAAGATCTTTAATTACAGATTCACTTTCTTTGTAAGGCTCTCCATGTTCTTAAACTTTTTCTTGCCTCAGTTTCAGAACGTTGGGTTTTTCAGGTGTTTCGTCTATTTCATATAAGTTGTCTAATTTATTGGTGTAAAGTTGAGCATATGGTGATGCTCCTTTTTATATTCCTGGTATTAGTAATTACATTTTCTTTATTTTTTTTCTTGATCATTTCTAAGGGTTTAATTTTTAAAATTATTTCAAAGAGCTAGCTTTTGGCTTTGTTAGTATTTCATATTTTTCATATGTTTTCATTTTTATTGACTTCTGCTTTTCCTTCTACTTACTTTGGTTTTAATTTTTAACTTTTTGAGATAGAAGCTTGTATCACCAATTTTTAAACCTTTCTAGAAAGTTTTCAAATATATGCATTGAGAGCAATGAATTTCTCATAACTTCACTACTTTTTGTATACTGTGTATTCAGTTTCATTCGCTTTATATATTTTCTAATTTCTTTTATTTAGAATTGTGTTGAATTTCCAAATATTTGAGGATTTTCTAGTTAGCTTTTTGTTATTGATTTCTCGTTTCAATTCTTTGAGGACAGAGGATATGATCTGTATAATCTCAATACTTGAAATTTATTGAGGCTTGTTATAACTTTTTTTTGAATGTTCTGAATACACTTGAAAAGAGTGTGCATTCAGCAGTTGGGTGCTGTTTCTATAAATATCAGTCAGGTTAAGTTGGTTAAATAGTGTTCAAAATTTCTGTATTCTTACTAATTTTTGTCTTGTATCAATCATAGAAATTTGTTGAAATCTACATCTGTGATTATCTCTCTTTTTAGTTTTATCAATTTTTGCTTAATGAATTTTGAATTTCTGTTATTACATATGTACATATTTAGTATTGTTTCTGTCTTGACCCTCTTATTATGCATGGTCTCTTTTTATCTCTGCTAACACTCCTTTACCTTGGCATGCTGTGTTTTTTTCCAGTCTCTTTGCTTTTGCTGTATCTGTGTCCTTATATCTCTGTCTCTTGCCAACAAGATGTAGCTGGGTCTTATTTCTTTACGTGTGCTGACAATATGCCTTTTAGTCCATTTTCATTTAGTATGATTACTAATATGGTTGTGTTTAATTCCACCATCTTGTTTTCTGTTTATTTTATTTGATCTTTATTCCATTGCTTTCCCTTTTCTGCTTCTATTTTTTTCTTCTTTTATTGATTTTTTAGGTCTCTCTGTTGGTGTTATTAGTGGTTACTTTAGAGTTGTGCTATCCGATGAAGTAGCCGCAGTCACATTAAAATTAAGTTTAAAATTCAGTTCTTCATTGCATTAGCTACATTTCAGGTGCTCAGTAGCCACATGTGCCTCTTACTGTATTGAACAGTACAGATTACTGCCAAAAGTTTTATGAGCTCTGGAGAGATTGAGATCAGGATTTGAGTCAGAATTACCCAGGGTTAGGTGTGGCAAGAGTAACATTCTAGTTAGAAGATGCGTGTTTTTGTTTGTCCACTGCTGATCAGCTTTGTGTCTGTAGGCAAATGCCCTCCTGCTCTTAGCCGTGGGTTTCTTTTCTAAAATATGGGAATAATAAATCCTCTTCCTGCTTCATGGAGTGTTTGTGGAAAAGAAAACTGGTAAAGTGCTTTATAAAGGCTAACACAGCCTTCAAAAAAAAGTATTAAAAATTGATTTGACCCACTTTTTTTGTGTGTTTTGTTTGCTCTTTTAGGTTGCTGACAGAACTGGAATCTCCTTCTTGGTGGCCCTTTAGCTCCAAGCTTTGGAAGATGCCAGCAGACACTAAGCCCAGTGGAGGCTTCTCAGTGTCTGGTTCCAGAGCTCTTGGAAAAGAAGGAATACTGATCAGAATTCCTGCTATCATTTCCCAAAGAACAGAATCTCAGGTTAAACCAGGACGGCTCACCATCCTTGTTTCCGGGTTGGAAATCCATGGCTCAGATTCTTTGCTCATACACAGATTTGAAAAAGAAGATGTAGATGACATTAAGGTTCACACACATTATGAAGTTAGTATCCGCCAGCGGTTCATTGGGAAGCCAGACATAGCTTTTCGCTTGATATCTGCCAAGATGCCAGAGGTTATCCCCATTTTGGAAGTGCAATTCAGCAAGAAGATCGAGTTCTTAGAAGACGCCTTGATGCTCAGAAGTGCTAGAACCTCTTCCCCAGCAGAGAAAGGCTACTCTGTCTGGCCCACAGGTGAGCGATGGCCAAAAGAGCCTGTGCACAGGCCCCTGACCTCCCAGCCAAACCCGGCACACCCATGGTACACATGCAACACGGCACATTGCTTGGAGGAGCTGCTGGTTTTAGCTCACTAGCGACTGCCCACTTATTTAGAAATAAATATAATTTCAGACCATTTTCCTGAGTACTTGCCATCTGTGACTCTCAAGTCACTTAGGTTTCTCACACATTCAAGAGCTGTGTAGGTTTCTAAATAGGTCAAAAGGGGTTTGGGTAGCCTTTCGGACAAAGAGAAGGTCTGAGTTAGGCTTTTTTCACATTTTTCTCCATTTGATTTGAGAACCGGCGCTTCAGGGTCTTAACCGGCTCCAGCAGTGCCTGGTCTAGTGGATCTCTGTTCCCTCTGCCCCTGACTCGGCCTCACTGCCGTTCCCATGACGTTTAATCGAGATTTTCCCAGCCCGCCTTCCAGATGTGTGTTTAGGGATCAGAATCTTGAAAACTATGCAGCACAGTTTTTGTGGTTTATGTTGCATCCGCAAGGTGTTGGGAAGCCCTTGCTTTCCCTGGCTGTGCAGCCGCAGTGTCCCCTGAAGGTCTCCATAGGATGTGGAGGGTGTGCCTGGGTGTGGCCGGTTAGGTCCAGTGTGGGTGGCAGAACATGTGGGTATGACACATGTCCACACATAGTGAGGTTCTCGGGGTCCAGCCTCCTCCCTAGCGTGGGGTAACTTGGTGTTATCTGACTTTTCAGTTTTGCTGTTCTGACAGGTGTCCTGTGGCATCTTGATGGTATTTTTATTTAATTTCTTTCATGGATTGTGAGACGGAGCATATGATGCTTTTTATTTGCTTCTAGGCCCCCTCTGTGGATTGCCCGTTCTATTTTTTTGTTGTTGTTGTTGTTGTTTCCCTACTGAGCTGGTAAGGTTTTTTGGTTTTTGTCTGATTTGTAGAAGCTCCTTATATATTCTAGACAGTCATTCCTTATTGACTTTAGAGGCTCCTGGTGTTCTCCTATACTGTCAGCCTCCATTACTGCCAAATCTTTTACTTTGCTATGGTCAAATCCACCATTTTCTCCCTGAGGTTTGTTTTTGAGCCCTGCTTAAGAAATTCCAAAGTCAAAAAATACTCTGATATTTTCTAATACTAGAATTATAGATGATATTACTTCTATATTTAATGTGATTTTTTTGACAAGTAATAGTCTTATTAACTTTGATTCCTTGATGTCTGTTAAAGAGAGATGTTTATTACTATTCCAATGCCTTTTTTTTTCTCATGTTTGATTTTAGTTCCAATATGTAACCTTGTCTCCCTCACCCATGTCTGTGTTGATGTTGTTCTTGATGGCTTCAAGTTGCAAAAAGAAATATACCTGATGATAGATTTGGTCTCATAAGACCCAGAATGTTAGAAATGATAATATAAAAATTTAATTTAAAAACTTATTTTCTTGGCACTTCTAGTTTTTGTTTGACCCTTCACTCAAGGCAGGACTCAAAAGCTGGCCCATAAAAGGGCCGAAAAGGGTGGGCTGTCCCAGCCAACGTGGACCATCACCAAGGGGCCCTTCGGGCAAGGCCGTGTACGAGCCCAGTTGGGCAGCTGCTCTGACACACCAGGTTTTGACTAAATCACTTTACTGCATTTTCCCCTGGGAGGTGCCTCAGTAGCCAGAGGAGAAGGCCCTGGCCGGAGGGACAAGACAGAGTGCCATCAGCCACTGGTTCTACCTGTGCTGATCAAGAACCCCGTGCCGCGAGGAGTGGTGTCAGGTGCCTACAGTCCTGAAAACAACCAGACAAAACCCACAGCGCTTCTCACAGAGCTCCACCATGTCTGTGGAGTGTCAGGCATGGTTGTTTTGAGGAGAGGACACGGCACACAGTGGAATGAATGAATGAAATGGTAGATATGAGCATGCCACATGTGGCACAGAGGTGATACTGCACAAGCTTTTTGGGCCTGCTAGAAGGTGGAATGGCAAGCTCTGACCCTGAGTATTCAGGTGGCATATAGGGCTGGACAGGAACAGGAAGCACGTGCAGGACCTCTGTAGCCGTGGTCAGGCTGCAGGAAGCTCAGTGAGTGTGAGTCCCGCAGAGGGTCAGGAAGGGTGGGCTGGACCTCTTGGGCATGGGCCAAATGTCTTCGTTCTCCTCTTCCTCTGGGAAGCCACAGATTGCTTTTAAGGCTTTCAACTGATTGACCCAGGCCCACCACACTATCTAGGACAGTCTCTGTTACCTAAAGTCAACTGATTTGGGGCCTTCTCCAACCACAGCTACAAATACCTTCTTGGCAACACCTAGGTTAGGATTGGATTGACTAGCTGTGGCCTGTCACATATGAATTGTATGTGTGTGAAATGAACTGAGCCATGTCCAGGGTGACAGATGGGTTTTCATCTTGGTGCTAACTTTAGCCTCTGGGATGAGATCCCAGCAGGGTTTCAGAGTAAGGATTGCCCTCCTCTGTTTGGGAGGCCACCTGCCTCATGGGGCGGGTCCACCTGACAGCCGTGGGTTTGGAGAGGCTCAGGTGACAAGGAGTGATATGTTTGAAAGAAGCCAGCATGCTGAGTTTAGTAAGGAAGATGATATCTGACTTCTTGGGGACTTCTCAGTGTCTTGTGTAAGCCCAGCAATGAGAGCCTACTTCTCACCATGCCCTTTGCGTCCTATCTGCCAGCACCTCTGACTTTCCTATTCCACGTCAGACTCTCCAGAAACAGCTGAGGCAGAGTCCATGACCTACAGCTCAGAGATGGGTTCCTCTCCTTCATGAGGGACTTGGGTAAAATGTGTGGCCAGAAGGTGGCAGTGTAGTAACAGGGGACCACTGTTTGCCCTGAGTGAGTATCTAGAACTTTCCAGAGACCTCTGTGGTAATGTGTAGTATGGATGGGTGGGGGCTGGGATTCCCAGGTGGGCAGTTTCCACCTTAGGGAAGAACACTCACAAATTGCAGTTTTTCTGCATAGCATCTTTTAAATAATCACTCAAATTTTAGAAGTTTCAGACTTGCAGAAAAGTTGTGAGGATAGTTCAGCGTTCCCATGTCTCCCACACCCAGTTTCTCCTCTTGTCACCTGACATGAGTCGTTCCTTGTCATAACTAATGAACCTATATGGATATGTTGTTATTTTCATAAGTCCATATTTTATCTGGATTTCCTTACATTTTACTGTTCCAGAACCCCATGTGACATTTTGGTGTCATATCTCCTTGGGCCCTTATTGACTGTGACAGTTATTCAGACTCTCATTGTTTTGGCGGCCTTGATCATTTTAGGAGTGGTGGTCAGGTTTTATAGCTTGTTCGCAGGTTGTCTCATGGTCCCTGGGGTGACAGGGGTGGGAGGAAGCCCGCAGAGCTCGTTTCTTCATCAGAGCAGTGTCCATGCTTGGCATCGTTAAGGGTTTTGGCACTGGTTTTTATCTTTGTTGGTTTGCTGACTGTCCCCTCCTGAGAGAGTCCTTTCTTGACTGCCTAATTTGAGGCCTCTGTTGCCGGCTCACTCACCCCATGGAACTCTTGCCTCATGCTTGCCCTCTGGTGCCGCTACAGCCTAACCAGGTGCCCTGCTATGTTACCTCCTTTCTAGAAAGTGTAATCATGTCAGTTCCCTTGTAGCTTGAACAATGTGTGCTTTTGATTAACTGAGCTAATTAATGACTTCAAAGACAAAAACCACCTCATACTGAACCAAATTAATATTTCTCAGAGATATTTCAAAACATTGAGATAACCAATAATGTTTTAATGTCATGTGTTAACTGGTCTCTCCCTTAGGCTGATATTAACTAGTAGGACGCTTCTGTCCAGCCCAGCTCTGACGGCGCTCTGCTGCTGACCGATGCTTTAGAAATGGGATTCTCATTATGTGACATCCCAGTAGGCCACACGGACTGAGTGGCCCTGAGCTGCGTGCGTGGAAGGTTCTGAGCTTACTAGCAAGCCCCCAGGATGTTGGAATTAGTGGGCTTTAGCAAGTCTAGAGCACAAGTCGTGAAATTAGTTTAGTGGGTTGCAACCAGCTTTTTCCTAAAAAATGGAAGAGAACAGCAGGCACCTGAATACATAGGGTACAAGAAATGTTTTGTCCTGTGAGACCTTTCCAGATATCACAGTGTAGTGAGGATGTGGCAGCTCTGTGTAGGATGTGCTGTCACGTGCACAGTTAGAGATGGGCCTCGGGGTGTCACAGGTTGTCTCCTCTAGCAGCCTTACTCCACTGACTAGTCCTGAGCTTACTCCATCTGGCCCGAGCCCTTTTCCTCTCAAGACCCTGAGAAACCTGCTTTCTGTCCTCATTCTAGCCTGCATTTATCCTGGATGAGGCCAGGAGCTCCCAGAGGGCATTAATTTGTGAGAATGGTTTTAAGACGTAATAATGGGGTGGGGGGTTGTATGCATGCTGGAGGTGGTGGCCTATCCCACCAAGGAGGTCCTTGCACAGTCACTGTGTCCCAGAGGTGACCCGAGGGGCTCGGGCCCTCAGGCCCAGTGAGTTTTACCCCACAGGTTGCCTTCTGTCCTTACCTGACAGGGAACATATTAGTTGCTTCAGGTGGCTCCTAGGAAGGATGTAGGGGCTGCGGTGCCTCCATTCCTCTGACACAGAGAGACTCGCTCAGGAACTGGTGCTGGTTTGCAGACAAATGCGCTTCTTGCCATCTGCGTTCCTCCCCAGCGCCCTGATCTGGGCCTGCAGTGTTGGGTGCAAGCAGAGCCAGCTCTTTAAATCAAGGACAGGTAGCACACCGTGGGAGGGCCCGTGAGCCACCAGAGTGGCACTGTCTCCATCCCAGCCGCTCTTCGGGGAAATTGCCTGGGCACAGGTCCTGTGTGAGCAGAAACCCTGATCTGAGTGGCGCCTGGCCCCACGCTCTCAGAGTCGCCCTACCTCATGGCTCCATAGTCACCTTTGCTTGGCTGCCAACTGGCTGTCCCCTGGACTTTCCAGATCTACAGCATCCTGTGGGGTTCATGAGGGTTCACTAAGTACCGTGTGTGAAACTCCAAAGCTATAATCTTTCTTCAGAAAGAAAAAGACCACTGTCTCTACTGAGAGCCAGTTACAGAAGCAGGCCCCGTGGTTACAGTGTTGCATGTCGCTCAGTGTGGGATCAGGGACCAGGGTAGACAGCGAGGCTTGAGCAGACCCCACAGCTGCCCAGCTCTGCAGAGGCTCAGTGCGGGGACCCTGAGATGCCTGTGAGAACACTTTTCCAGCCCAGAGAGCTAGGTCGGCCTTGGTAAAGTGCTCGTGTGTGCGCGCCTCCCAGAAGGTGTCACTGATGTTGGCTTTTATTCCAGCATCCGGGCTGATGGACTGCTCCAGGCACCAAGAGCCCTCGGGGGGCCAGGAAGGCAGACCACTTCAGCTACAGACAAGCGAGCCACTCATCTCTGAGGGGGACACCCAGGAACTAAGACAGGTAACATGCGTTCAGTGACGTCATCTTCCTCTGCAGAGGATGCCTTTCTCTCTCCTGCCTGAAAACAACACTCTCTGCTTATGCTTGCCTCTCACCCACAGGCGCTGCTGGAACACCCACCCTGTTTGCTCTGCTCCCTGCAGCTGGAGAAGGGAGAGAAAGGCAGGGCCCATCCCGAGTCCTTGTGCTCTATGCATGCAGACACACGCCGCCTTCCTGTGCTTCCACCTGTTGTACATATGTGTGTATGCATGCACATGTGTACATGTGGGTTCTGCATACATGTGGACTGTACACACATGCAGGCTATGAATATGTGTGTGCTGTCTGTACATGTTTATACATGTGTAAGCTCTGCATGTGCTGAGTCCATGTGTACATGTGTGTGCTGTGTGTAAATGTGCTATGTCTGTGTACATGTGTGTGCTATGTTTATACATGTGCTGTCTGGTGTACATATGTATGCTATGAGTCTGCATAAATATGTAAGCTGTGCATATACAGTCTCTGTACATGTGTATGCTTGCCTTTGCTGAATATGTGTGCACATATGTCATGTATGTGCTGAGTCTGTAGCGTGTGTGTGCTGTGCATATACATGTGCTGAATCTTGTGTACATGTGTGTTCTATGCCTTGCTGAGTCTGTGTGCACATATGTTGTGTGTGCTGTGAATGCAGTTTACGTGTGTGTGCTATGTGTATACATGTGCTGTCTGTGTGGTGTACGTATGTGTGCTGTGAGCCTGCAGTGTAAGTGTGCACGCGCTCCACATGTGCACGTCCAGTTGAGGGCGCTGCTCTGTCATCGCTCAAGTGCTTGGCTGGATTCTGAGGAGCCTTGCACTTTGTGTCCAGAAAGTTAAATTTAAACAGTATTTGATAGAAATACTTTTAACTTGTCTTCCTGTGTTGTTGCTGGACAATATGATGCTTTTTTTCCTTTTCCTTTTCACATGATATTGAAGCAAATAGAAAATACTTAGACAGTATTTCATAAATAGTTCATAATTTATCTTTAAACGATAAGAACTGTTTTAAAAAAATCAACATCATACCATATTCCCTTTAAAAAAGGACAGAGGCATTCCCTGCTGTCTTCAAGTGTCTCTGCCACTCCATCGAGGGACGCGTGCTGTCTGTCTGTAGCAGGCACCCGTGACACCGGTCACTGCGCTCAGTGAAGCGCCTCTGTGCACAGCTGCCTTCGTCATCTTCTCTTTTTCCTTTGCAGTCGATGAGTTGAAATTGAGATTTTTGTAGTTTGCATCTTCCTGCCTTAGTTTCCCCAGGGGTGAGCAGCATGTGCTCTGCCCCGGGGCTCTGTGGGTCCATTTGTGGCTCGAAGGCGATAGCAGGCCTGGCCCTCCTTTGGAGAGCCTGGTTCCTTGGTATGGTGCCTGCTCCATCAGGACACGTGGGAGACTGCGTCGCCGTGAGCCCGTTTTCTACATGTCTGCCTAGGCAGAGACTCCTTAAGCTCAGCCCTTTCCTTCTGGGGAAAAAAATGTTCATCTTTGCTGTGCGATATTTTAAATATACATGATTTGTCATTTTTTCCTCCTTGTCTACATTAGTCACTCTGTAATGACACAGAAATGGCTGCTTTCTAGCTTTAGCTAGCAAATGCTGCAGTTTCCTAACTGCCTCCAGAACATGTGGCTCTTGTCTGCTCTGGGGCTGGAGCCTCCTCATCCCATAAAGGCTGATGTGCCATTCTCCTGAGAGCAGGGGACAGAGCACAGGCCTGAGACGGGTGGGATCTGGGCCACATACATGCACACACGCACATGCACACATGGTGTCATGACAGAGACATGCTCTTCTGGGCCCCACACTGTATATAGGTTGAAGAAGGAACACAGCTTTGTGGTGGGAAATGTTGGAACTTTATCTGCTCGTTTTTGAGGTGGCCATGCAATTTGAGAGGGGCCCTGCTCCTAAATGGCCTCCAGGGGATGGCAGAGGTCAGGGTGCATGCACCTACAGCTGGGACTGTGGCCTCCATCCTTCTCTGGAGAACATGCGTCTGTGTGGCTGGTCCTGACTGTCATCAGTGAGTCTTAGCAAGCCTGTGGTGTCCATGCTGGGAACAGCGGCCGCCCTGAGTCATTTACCGTGGCCTCAGGGTGGAGGAAGTGATGACCCTGTGGTGGGCTGAGAAGAGCCGCTGCCTCAGCCGCCCTCCTGTAAGGAGAACCGTGTTTCACAAGAAATGCTCTCTCTGAGGTTAATCACACGTGTCCTACTTAGACAAGAAATCTAACTGCATAGTGAAGCTCAAGCATGTGGGAATAAGTTAAATGTCTGGGGAGCTGTGGCTTCTGTTGTTGCAGATACGTGAAAGTCACTATGTGGAGGTGCATCTGTCTTGATGACTAAACTGCAGTTGGCGCAGGGGACCTGAGCTGACGCCTTGTCATTCCCAGTAAAGGGGGTGCAGTGTGGATTCCTACGAAGCTTAAGGTCGTGGTTTTAAACTTTCTCGTTTGTTACATTAAGGCTTTAGTCTGCCTGCTGTATCTGGTATCTTCTTAAACAATAAACACAAAACACTAAGAGTTAAAGGAAAAACTGAGGTGCTTCATTCGCTCAGTCACTGGGAAATGGGGACAGCTGGTAGGCTGGCAGAGGAGAGCATCGCCCTGTGGAGCCTGCTGGGACCACGGGTCATGCTGAGTCCAGCTAGGCTTCATGCGCTGCCACCCCATTTGTGAGCGCTGTTTCAGGGGGCCCTGCACCTGCCACACTCAGGAACTTTCCTGAAATGATTTGAGGGCAGAAAGGCTGCTGTGATTCTCTCCGTGGTGTGAAACTGTCTTAAATTCATGTCCTTTCTTTTGTTTCTGTATTAGAAACCATAGAATAGGTTCTATCTTCAGTGACTCTACTGTCCTGGTCTTTTTTCCCTATTCTCTGGTCCCTGCTATTGAAACTCATCCTAAACGTCGATCTCCTCTGATAGTCACGAAAAGAAATCAGTCATTTCTTATAGATCCGATCTACGTAAGAGAATTACATGTAACCAGTGTTCTTCAGCCCCAAATAAAGGTCTGAATAGTGAATGACTTATCCCTGGTTCAGTGTATTGACTGTCAGTGCACAGTCATGTGGTGACAGGCAGGATAGCCATGTCCTTAAACTGGTTGTGTGGCAGGCCAGGCCACGCTTCACGGCTGACGCATTAGGAAGAGGGTTGGGGGCCCTCTGGATGGACAAGCACAGGAGGGCCTTAAGCAGCCCTGGCCGGTTACCTCTCTAGCACAGACCCATGTTGTCTGTGGCATTGGTTCAGGGTGGGAGGGCTTGTCTAGGCGTGTGGCTGTGTGTCTCCTATAGCTGACAGGGAAGGCTGTGCAGGTGCGCTGGGCTTTCCTCATATAGAAGCCACCGTGGCTAAACCTGGGCTGCATGGATGGAACATCTGCCCTTCTGGTTCAGATGCCCATGCACATGAGTCCTGGGGACGTGTTCTGTCCCTTCCACTGCCCTGGAAACTGTGAGCAGGGAGGGAGCTTCCAGGTGAGGAACTACCAGCATCGCAGCGAGCACCTCCTGAGCAGCCATGTGGCAGTGTGCAGGTGGAATGTGGGGAAGTGGGGACAGGGAATATGCTCTGGCATTTTGATGGGAAGGATGACTCTTTCTCCTTGGAAACATTGTCCTGTCTTCTTAGTCAACATTTTCGTGAACCTCAAGTCGTAAAATCAAGCATTTGATTATTTTCTTATTGTGCCTCGCTGTGGAAGGTTATATAATTACTTATATACCATAACCGTGTTTTTTGTTGTGGTAAAATATATGTAATACTGATGTTGCCATTTTAAGTGTGCCGTTCAGTGGCATTAATTATATTCCAAATGTTGTATAAAGGATCACCACCATCTGCTTCCAAAGCACTTCTGTCATCCCAGACAGAAATCACACACCCACCTCCCCCAGCCCCTGGTGACCTCTGGTCTCCTCTGTCTCTGAATCTGCCTCTTTAGGGACCTCCTCTATGTGGAACCATATGTTGGTCCTTCGTGTCTGGCTTTCTTCACTTAGCATGTTTTCAGGGCTGATCCATTCTGTAGTATGAATCGGTACTTCTTTTCTTTTGAGGGATGAATAATATTCTGTTACGTGGACAGACCACATTTTGTTTATCCATTTATGTGTTGATGGACATCAGGTTACTTTTACCTTCTGGCTCGTGAATATGCCACCAGATGTACCATGTCTGTTTGTGTCCTGCTTTCAGCTCTTGGACATATTTCTAGGAGTGGAATTTGCTTTTTGATGAACTGCCTGTTTTCCATAGAGGCTGTACCATTTTATATTCCCACCAGCAATATATGAAGATTCCAGTTTTTCCACATCCTCACCAGCACTTATTTTCCCTTTTGAAATGTTTTAAATGATTATAGCTATATCCTGGTAGTTGTGAAGGGCTCTGTCTCATTGTGGTTTCAGCTTGCATGTCCCTGATGACTAATGATGTCTTCCATCTTTTCACGGGCTTATTGGCCAGCTGTTTGTATGTCTTTTTTGAAGGAACGTCTATTCAGGTTCTTTTCCTGTTTGTTAATTGGTTGTTTGTCTTTTTGTTTAAGTTGTAGGAGTTCTTTATGTATTCTAGATATTAAACTTGTTAACAGATTTCTGATTTGCAAATAAATGTCCCATTCCGTAGGTTGTCTTTTGACTTTTTTGATAATGTCCTTTGGTATAATTCTGACACCAAGTGCAGCTGGCCTACTGCAGTTCAATTCTGGCACTAACCACTCGTTAGCATAGACCCCACAAGTTAAAGCACCTGGTCCCTAGGCCACATGCACTTCTGACCAGCTGGCTACAAATCTGGGGGGTTCCCCTGACCCTTCTCAGGTTTGATAGTTCTTGAAGGTGACTCACAGAGCGCAGGCGGGCACTCTGGTCATGATCACAAAGGAATAGCCAAACGAAGAGATAGATACATGGGTCGAGGTCTAGGAGGGTCTCACATGCAGAGCGTGCTCCC